AACTATACTCCCATGAAGTACCTTCATAAAATATATAATCTCCCCCGAATGATTCTAAAACGTCCAAATCTGTATAAAATGTACCATTTTCATATCTGGGTACAATAAATCCTTTTGCACCTTTTTACGATAACATTTAAGTTTAGTAAATATTTATCCAACGTATAAAATAAAATACATTTATTTCTAATTATTTACCATTAAAAGTCTTACTAGAACACCATAGATTCTCCCAACTTCTTGCTCGCCTTTTGTATTTCATATAGTCATCATATTTACCCAAACCTTTAAATAAAAGAAATAAAAGAAATAAAAGAAATAAAAGAATTGTGTGTTACAATAAAATTTAAAATCACTTAAAGGATTCAAACACGCCATTTTGTTTTTTACCTTTAGCAACGAGACTGATGCTATAATCATTAGCAGAATACTCTATAGTTCTACTGCAAGGCGAATGTGCATATGTTACCACAACATATCCTTGAAAAGGTATATAACCGTATTCTTTATAATCTGTTAAATGTAGTCGGCCTTCATATAACCCACGATGCTTTGGATCTACTTCTGCATCTTTTATTAAGGCTTCGTAAGCAAGATCCCAATCTATTACATTGGTACCTAATTTTTTTAAATACGCTTCAGCCTAAGAATTAGATAAAATTTAAATCAAGTTATTATTTTATTTAGCAATTAGTTAATGATGGTTAAGATGTTAATAATGATTTTAAACCTTACCACAACCATATCAGCATTAGATCCACCTTGTGTAATTCCATTTGCTAATCCACTTCTTCCATCGGGCATATATCCTTCATTCTGATAGATATCAATTAATGATCTAACAATATCTACGGCTCGTTCTTGTTGGAAAAGTGTAAATAACGGGTTTGTCGTTCTATATTTACATTCATGAATTATCTTAATAACATATTACAATATTCACAATATTTACATCGATTTAATTCATGTAGTTATGAAATTACCTAAATGTATCCCACTATTGAAATATTAATTACTTCGATTAGTTTTTCAAAAATTTTTTATCCGGAATTTGTAAAATAAAAACATACCAAAGTGTAAAAATCTCCATAGTGTGGTATTATATTACTTTTATTATCATATGATACCCATTTTGGATTCTCGCCAGTTCTATAAACATAATTTATTAATAAGAAAGGCTATTATATATTATATAAATATTAATGAAAAAAAAATACCTATCGCTTGGGATAATCATGGTTCTGTATAAGTTACTATAAAAAATGGTTTTAAAATCATCAGTTCCTCCATCAACATCTATCTTTTCTAACTCAGTCTGCCAAGCATTTACAGCCTCTTGTTTAGTCTTTTCAAAATCCCAATCTGGTATTTCACTTTCAGCACTCTTACAAGCTTGATCAACTGAAACAAACGAAATTCCAACTCTCGACATAATTACCGGATTTTTGGTAACGTTAAACGTTAGAATAACACCATTAATGCTATTAAAATAAGTTGTTCCATCAGAAAATTCGTAAATTCTTCCAGTGTGTCTATCCCTCCAGGTCTCAAATTCTATAGCGTTAGTATTAAATTGGGAACAAAAGTAAACTACATAAGGACCTCCTCTATTCCAACCACCACTATAACGACCTGCACCTTTTACTTGGTTATATGAAATAGATTGAATTGATCCGCCATTATACTCTGAAGTAGATCTAAAAAATTTATTATTAATAATTAGGTACCTAATAATAACAAAACATATTTTAATCTATTGATAAAATAAAATTACCTAACACTAACAAGATTATGAGACAAATCAATAATAACTTTAGTTATATTTTTGATTTGAGGAAAAGTATAACGGTGAAGACCTGTTCTTCTACTAGCAGTTAATTCAACTGTAATATTATAACGTTTTAACCCAAATTTTGAATAACCAACTTCAAAATATTCAAATGAACGTTCAGAAGAGTAATCGTGTAAATTAAGTGGATCTTTATATGAATCTATTACGGGGAATTGACTTATCACTCCATATTTTGGTTCACCTGGATTTGGTTTAAAATAAGTAAAATAATAAAATATAATATAATATGATGCAATATTATGTTCTCACTTACCTCCAGTCCCACTAACGTGTACATCTTTACGAATAATAATTAATATAAATATACTATATACAGCTTATAAACATCTGAAATGTATGTAGCATATATACGTACGAGAAATCCCTGTAATGTTTCCATCCGTGGTGTATCTATTAAAAATCACAAAAATTTTTTACTTAATGATCTTTTAATAATTATTGTGGCGGCTGAAACTAAGATTGGCTAAAACTAAAGCTAAAATTTGGGCTCTATTTAAATCTAGTAAATCTGTTAAATTTATTAAACTATTTATTAAAATCATTTGTATTCTTATTAAAAACCCTAATCCTAAATTCTAACTTGACCTAAAAAAAAAATCTAAAAAAAAAAATACACTTAAAATTCATATTAAAATAGGTCCAATTCTAAGCATCAGCCAATCTCAGTCACAGTTGTCACGGTTCCTAGCAGTGATATATTCTTACCCAGCATTATAATCATCTATGTTATCAGTATCAAAACCTAATTTAACGACTCCAAAAGGATGGCATGGTCCAGGAAATACGTGCCCATCTGCACGTAATCCAAATCGTTAGCAATATTTCTAAATGAAAAAAAAAAAATTAGTAAAAAAATGATAGAATTAAAAAAAAAAAAGAATTAAATAAATGTAATACCTATATGTCAAATGGTTTTTCATGCCACATGATATAGGGCTTCTAATGGGTAGCCCATAAGTGAGTTGCCCATTAGGAGTCCTAGCACTGTGTTAGTTCTAAATTAAGATGTTATGATCGCTCATATATGATGCAAAACTGCATATTGCTCATCTCAATTCGAAGTATTTATTGAAATTATGAAAGTCACCTTTAGCAGTTCCAATTAAAGTATTAACAAACTTTGTAATATTTTGAATTTTAGATGAAGAATAGTAATCAAACAAGTTTGGGGTTTGGTTTATCGATATCATAAACCAATGTATCGATAAACTTAAAAATAATATAAAATTTAAAAAACTGACTACTATTATAGAAGTCGTTTGTTTATTCATTGTTTAAATGTTTAAAACGATAACGAAAATTTCCATTTCTACCATTAAAAGATTATAGAATGCACTATATATATATGATGTTTATTTTCATGTATGAATTTTCTGCACAGCCCTATATATTACCTCGTTACAATATTTGTGCAATTATTTGCAAGTAAACAATAACGATTGCCCTGATTGGATCGGTAATATGTGTATGGTTAATATTAATGCAGTAACGGTAATGCCAAATAAACCGAAAGCAAAATCTTAAAGTTGATTGGATTATGCGTTTGTACAGATCACTTCTTATGACACTAATTTTGGAGATCAGTTTTTCTCACGCATGATCGCTTTAACCTTTTATAGGGGTCGTCTAAAGCGGAGCAGAATCACGTGATATCTGACCAATCAAATTATAGAATTTTGATGATCGCCGGCGA